TGTCAGTCTCTCTCTCACTGTGTGTCAGTCTCTCTCTCACTCTCTCTCTCACTGTGTCAGTCCCTCTCTCTCTCACTCTCTCACTGTCTCCCATACCAAACTCTGTGACCCTATCAGCCCCATTCTCGCCCAACTCCACTGGCTTCCCATCACATAGAGGACACAGTTCAGGATACTGGTCCTCGCCTTCAAAGCCCTCCATGATCTTGCTCCCCATCTACCTCTGCCATCTTCTAACCCCCTACTATCCTGCCCGCTCCCTCCGCTCAGCGGGCTCCAGCCTGCTTCACGTCCCCCGCCTTGCTTGCCACACCATTGGCGGGCGGGCCTTTTGCCACTCTGCAACCCACCCTCTGGAACTCCGGCCGCAGTGCCTCTGCCTCGCCCCCTCCCTCGCCACCTTCAAGATCCATCTCAAGACCCTCCTCTTTGACCTGCTTTAAATCTCCCTGCTTCCCCCCCTGCCCTCCCCCCTCCCCGATCCTGACCCCCAGCTCGGGTCCGAAACACTGACTGTCCAGCGTCTTGGGACGTCGTCCCGACATGAAAGGCGCTAAACACACATCATCGTTTTGTTGTTGTTGATGATTCCCCTCATCTCCCCTCTGGTTCTTTTGCTGATTATCTGAATGACTGTATGTATACAGTATAGAAATGTCAGCTTCTCCTCTGCAGTGCACATCAGGAGCACTAGAGGCTGCTCACATGCTGCCCATAGCCACTGTCCATCCCACTGCTCCTCACTGCAGCAGCTCAGAGAATCATCACCCCGAGTCCATCAGCCCCGCTGGAGCCTGCCCGCTCCTCTCTGCTTAACACACAAGCTCCTGAGATACATGTCGGCCGCACCCGGCTATCCAGCCCTCCTGTCTGTCCACTGCTCCCTGTCTGTACAGATTCCCTCTGACCTCCCCTGATGTGTCCTCTGGACTGTGTCTCTTTTGCCATCGATTCCACAATTATAGGAAAGTTTCCTCTCTGTCCGGTTTACTAACACTCTAATTACATCCACTCTTAACCCCACCATGTACCTGGCCTCTCTATGTATATTGTCCTATAACCCAGAGGAAGGAAGAACAAGGACAAATTTACTCTTTGAATATTACACACAAGACATTGTATAGACCTCCCCAGTCTATGTCTCTCTGCCTCAGTTGTTAGCACTCTCGTGGCAACAATACAGCAGATGCTGGGAATCTGGAATAGAAACAGAAGTCGCTGGGAACACTCAGCAGGTCAGGCAGCATCTATGGAGAGGTTGTGGGTTCAAGCCCCACGTTGGGACCTTGAGCTCACAGTCCAGGCTGACGCTCCAGTGTGGGGCTGTATTCTCGGATGAGGTGGTAAATCCCAGAGTGTCGGAGAGAGTGAGAAAGAGAGTGTGAGAGTGGTAGAGGGTGTGTGAGAGACGGTGAGTGAGTGAGAGAGAGTGTGTGAGAGTAGTAGAGTGTAAGAGAGTGTGAAAGAGAGTTAAAGAGTGGTAGAGTGTATGATCGAGAGTTTAAGAGAAAAAAAGTGTTTGAAATTTGAGTGTAAGAGAGAGTGAGAGAAAGAGCGGGAGAGAAAGAGTGGGAGAGAAAGAGTGGAAGAGTATGAGAGAGAGAAAGAGTGTGTGAGCGTGATAGAGTAACGAAGCACAGCCTGAGGTGTACAGGGTTCAGATTGACTATTTACGGAGTATTTCACTGTGTCCAGAATCTGGTAAGTTTCCTAAATACAGCCTGCTTTCAGAGCCCGGGATTCTGTAGATTCTCACAGTGAGAATAAAGCAAGGGAATGGGGTTAGAGTAGAGAGCTCCAATGTCATTTTAAAAACGGTCACCGGGGAGTAGACAAATGTCAGGTCTCAGTCACACGTCAAACTCACCAAAGGCCAGTGACAGGCCTGGAAAGGACACATTAGCATGTGTCAGCGTAAGGGATTGTTGCTGCCTATGTTTGTGTGTGTGTGCCAGCCGACGGCAGCCACTCAAACAATGGGGCGCTCACGGTTTGACATTTCTGTCCTTCACGCAGTCCGCCCGCCTGTCATGGCGGTGATTAATTCTGCGCCTAACCTCGGGGTCAGCGTCTCCTCGCTTTTGTTTGGTGATTTAACCGGGTCGGTGGGAACACGGAGCCTGCTCCTTGATCTGCTTCCTGACGCACCTGGAACCCAGGCTCTACCCACATTGGGAGATCCCATCCCCGGTAAACACAAGACAAAAATACGGAGGTTGCTGGAAATCTGGAATAGAAACAGAAGTCGCTGGGAACACTCAGCAGGTCAGGCAGCATCTATGGAGAGAAGGGATTTGAATGTAAAGACCCTGACCTGCTGAGTGTTCCCAGCGACTTCTTTTTTATTTCCCATCACCAGCGACTGTTTCACATCAGACTAAGGGCCAGGGCGGGGGTTGGGACCTAGGGCCGAGGCAATAGGGTCTTCACCATCCACATCAGCGTGTGGAAGACCCCAGTTTAACCTACAGCTTTTTGACTTGGAGGCAAGAGTGCTGCCAACTGAGTCCGACTTCACCCAAGTCAGCCATTTTTCTGCTCTTTGTCATTCTTTGGGTGAGAGATTGGATACAGAGACATAGACACTGTTACGGTCCCTGTGTACAATCTATACTGTACCCACGGGCCAGGTTATGGCTGGCAGCTTCTTAAAGCAGTTGGTGGTGAGGGGGGAACCTATGGTGAGAGGCAGGGCTGTGGTAAGGGGTGGGTCTATGGTGAAGGGAGGAGCTATGGTGAGGGCGGGCCTACCTGATGGTGTATTCCCAATTGTCCACAAGGAATTTCCAGTTGTACTTGACCAGCAGGGGGCTGTTGTTGGTCATTGTCATGTAGTGCACCATCTCAGTGTCATTCAGGATGCAGCCAAAGTCCACCAGCATGGTCTCAAACTGCAGGTTGGGGAAGTGCACCGCGCCTCTCAGCTCCACCAGATCCACGTGTGGGTGCTCCAGGTAGCGGATAGTCAGCGACTCCTCAATGATCCGTGTGTGCAGGTCATCCTTGAACGTGGGGTCAAACTGGATCAACAGCTTGACATCCTGACCAACGTCCAGACCAATGGTCTGTGTGAAGGAGGAAGAGGGAGAGTGACCAAAACAGCCAATGCTCTTCTCCTGCAATATCCCACACATTGTTAACTGACCGTTCTTGATTGTAGCTAGATCCTAATCCTGATCATATCTAGATCACTTATAGGTCATACCCAGATCAGGATCCACACTATCTGTTGTTAATTTCAGGTCTCACTTGCCGTGTGATTTAAGCGAGGCTTTCTCCTGGTTTAGATCCTCTCCTCATCCCACATTTGCTCCCGAAATCAAACCAATCAGACGCTCATCCCATTGTTTGACCCGGGGAAGGGGTTGAGTAGGGTCTCTTTGGAAAGCTCACACACGCGCAGTTATGCAGCGAACACGTATAGATTTTAGAGCCAGTCATTTAACTTGAAAGTAAATTCCTTCTTGGCGACATCAGTTCTAGACTTGGCAACGATTTTGGGGTGAAAAAGAATTGTGAGGAAACAGAGGGCAGAGCTACAGCGATACATTATGAATTTGGCGGGAAAAATTATCAGAAGGGGTGGAGTTTACGGCTTATAAACCAGGCCATTGCTGTGATTAGGTAGAGCCTATAATAACCATCCACTGCCCATCTTAAACCATCTGAAGACCCTGGGCACAGCCCCTGTGCCTGCTGTCTTAGCCCTGCCCCTGTTGCCCCCTCGGGGGATGGCTGTTCACTGCAATGGAGACAAAGCAATTTCCTTCCACCTTTGAAGTGACTTCCTCATCCTCCTCACTGTCAGGCATGAAGACGAAGGGCCCATTCATGCTGAGCACCAAGGTGACAGGCAGGAGGGAGACGTTTTTCATCAGAAGAGGTTTATAATAAGGAGCAAGCACATCAGTTGGAAGCTGTGGAGAGCAAGAGAAACAACCATATTTTACGACAGTGGCATTATTTTATAACAGCTCCTTATTTTTCGCATATTGATGAAGAGGTCTCCAAAGTGGGAGGGTTCATAGGCGTGGTTTGGATGGAGTTTCAGAAGGAATTTGATGAAAGTTCCATATAAGAGGCTGCTGACTAAAATTAAGGCACATGGGATTGGAGGCAACCTGTTGTTGTGGCTGGGAAAATGGTTGGGAGACAGGAGAGTTGGGAAAAAGGGGATATTTCCTGACTGGCAACAGCAACCAGCGGTGTTCCTCAGGGATCTGTGTTGGGTCTTGAATTTCCAGTCTCTACATTTTGGATGAAGGTGTAGAAGGGATTCTAACCAAGTTAGCAGATGTTACTACGTTAGGAGGTGTGGTAAGATTTGAGGAGGCAGTGGATAGTTGCAGAGGGATATAAACAGATTAAGAGAACGGGCAAAACTATGGCAAAATGGAATTCAATGCGACAAAGTGCGAGGTGGTTCATTTTGGACTGAAGAATGTCAAGTCAGACTACATTCTTGATGCTTAACGGGGTTAATGTGCAAAAGTATCTTGGTGTTCTTGGAGTCCTGTAGCTCAGTGGTTAGAGCACTCGTCTTGCAAGTGAGAGATCTGGGTTCAATTCCCAGACAGGGTGAAACGTTGGGTAAGTTTCCTTACTATACATGCCTCTGTTTAACTAGCAGTAAGTAAGAAGCCGGTTGTTAGTCGATTGACGGACCATTTTTCCGGGGGTAATAATTCTTTCAAAAAAATAATAATAATAAATTGGTCACTCAATCCACTCCTGTTTGTGGGACACTGCTGTGCGCAATGGCTGACGTGTTTTGCCCACAAAGTTAATTCACTTTACAGTATATTTTGTGAAGCGTTTTGAGACGCCTAGAAGACGTGATAAGGCGCTGTATCAAATGCAAGGATTATTATTATTATTCAGCTTCATCAATCTTTAAAAAGTAGCACACAGGGACAGATGGTAATCAAAAAGGCGAATGCAGTATGAAATTATAAAGGGATTTAACATGCTGAATAGTGAGCAACTGTTTCCTCTGAACAGAGAATTGAGGACTAGACGTTTTGCTGCCGCATTTGCCTACAAATACACAGTGACTCAATTTCACAGTAAATCCTGTGAAGTGCTTTGAAATGTCCTTCCGATGTGATAAGGCACTATATCAAACGCAAGGATTATATATACAGTGTGTATATATATATATTAAACAAAAACAGAAGTAGCTGGGAACACTTAGCAGGTCAGGCAAAAATATATATATATATATTAACCTACGCCGTTACCTTGTTTATGATAAAGTTGAGTTGTTTGGTTGAAAATTCGATGATGGGGGCGATGAAATCGCAGTTGATCACCAGTGATATGATCCTCTCTTTGCCCGGCTTGCCTCCAATCACAGCATGGCATACCAGCTGTCCGCTCACAAACTACACACAACAGCACAGCATCAAGCCAACACCATCAGCCCACTCCATTACAGCATGTCAGCACAGCTATAACTGTTAGAATTAAAGCGATAACTCCTATAACTATTATAATATTCCCCTACAAATTAGTCACTGCACTCAACCATATACCCTATGAAGCTCTTTGAATTCCAAAGGGCATATATCGACAGATTAGGGAACGGGTAAAACTTTGACAATTGGAGTTGAATATGGCAAAGTGCAAAGGTGGTACATGAAAGGCGCTGTATCAATGTAAATTGCATTGTATAACAGAATTATAACTAAAACTACGATAACTATTATAACTATAATAATAATATTACTATTATAAGTATTATAACATTTGCCAAAAATTGCAGTCATTACACTATTTTTGGGGGTCAGCCGGGTGTCTGACACACGCAGAAACCCATCACTGTGCTTAAGAACATAAGAACATAAGCATTAGGAGCAGGAGTAGGCCATTCGGCCCCTTTAGCCTGTCCCGCCATTCAATAAGATCATGGCTGATCTATTCTAACTCCACCTACCCGCCATATCCCCATATCCCTTTATCCACAAGAAATCTATCAATCTCAGTCTTGAATATGTTCAAGCACCTGAGTATCTGCAGGCCTTAAATAAATTCACTATCCTCTGAGTGAAGAAGTTTTTCCTCAACTCAGTGCGAAAGGACTTACCCCTAATTTTAGGACTGTGATCCCTGGTTATAGTTTCTCCAACCAGGGGAAAAAGTCTCCCACTATCTAGTCTGTCGTACCCCTTAATAATCTTATAGGTTTCTATAAGATCTCCTCTCATTCTTCTATATTCTAGAGAATATAGGCCTAAATTGCTCAACCTATCCTCATAACTCATCCCCTCATCGCAGGTACCAACCTAGTGAATCTATGTTGTACCCCCTCCAAGGCGAGTGCATCCTTTCCTGAATAAGGCGACCAAAACTGCACACAATACTCTAGGTGGGGTCTCACCAGGGCCCTATACAGTTGCAGCAAGGCTTCCCTACTCTTATATTCTAACCTTTTTGTAACAAATGCCAACATACCTTTAGCCTTCCTAATTGCTTGCTGTACCTGCATACTAACTTTTTGTGACTGGTGTATAAGGACACCCAAGTCCCTCTGAACGCTAACACTTTCTCTCCCCCTCTAGAAAATAACCTGCTCTGCTGTTTTTGCTCCCTTGGTGGATGACTTCACACTTCCCTACATTATACTTCATCTGCCACCTATTTGCCCAATCACCTAACCTATCTATATCTCGTTGCATTTTTTTTTATGTCATCCTCGGTGTTTACTCTCCCTCCTAGTTTAGTGTCATCTGCGAATTTGGATAAGTTCGATGCCCTCATCTAGATTGTTGATGTAGATTGTAAATAGCTGAGGCCCAAGGACTGATCCTTGTGGCACTCCACTAGTCACATCCCGCCAATCTGAGAAGGACCCGTTCATCCCTACTCTCTGTTTTCTTCCCGTTAGCCATTCTTCAATCCATGCTAATATATTCCCCTTAATTCCATGGGCCCTAATCTTGTGGATCAACCTTTTATGCGGCACCTTACCGAATGCCTTTTGGAAATCTAAATACACTACATCCACTGATTCCCTCCTATCTAATCAACTTGATATGTCCTCAAAATAATCTAAAAGATTTGTTAAGCATGACTTCCCTTTTGTAAAGCCACGTTGACTCTGTCTAATCATATTGTGATCTTCTAAGTATCCCACTATGACATCCTTAATTAAGGATTCCAGAATTTTCCCTACCACCGATGTCAGACTAACTGGTCTATAGCTCCCCATCTTTTCTCTCCCACCCTTCTTAAATAGTGGTGTGACGTTTGCGATCTTCCAATCAATGGGAACCGTTCCAGAATCCAAAGAATTTTGGAAGATCAGACACAAGGCCTCCACTATCTCATGAGCTACATAAGAGTCTCCAAACCAAGCTGAGATTTCCATGTATCCCAACCACACATGGAAATCCCAAAGACAGATTGTTGGAATGGAATGCGCTCTCTCTCTCTCTCCCTGGAGGGACACACTCTGTTTACCTAATTCCGGAGAGTATAAGGCGCAGGCTCACAAAAGCCAAGGCTTGGGGGATCCCAGAGTGTGTGTTGGGGTAACTGCTGGAGTCTAACCAGCTAAACCCACACAGCTTGGCCATTGATATCACTGTCTGGCCAGCTTTCCCGCTGCTTGTCCAGATAGGCCAACCCTCCCCGTTAGTTAGGGCTTCGGCTTCAGAGTTAATGGGAGCTGAGGGGGAGGATTCTTATTACATTTTACACTAGTTGCTGCTTGGGAATGTCCTCACGATGTGAGAGGCAGGTGTGAAGTGTAGGATTATGATAATGACTGGGCTTCTGGTGGTTGGTGTGAGGGTTCCCTACCCGGGGGAAGTCGGAGTGACCCTCCAGGGTGAGCGTTGTGCTGCGGCCGGGTGGCAGGTCCATGCGGATGGGGCTGATTTTGAAGACGGGCAGGTACTGTCCCTGTGGCGTGGGGGCCATGCGCTGTTTGATGTCGGCGCTGGCGGGCGGCAGACAGGGGCTGGGCTTGAAGTTCAGAGGGAAACCCTCCGTCTGCCAGTACAGCTGGTGGTGTCGGCAGCCACAATTTGTCAGCTTGATCTGATGATGCCGAGAGACAGAGCTGTAAGAGATCAGAGGGAAGTGGGGTTGATTTGGAAGCTCTTTTCAAAGAGCCAGGACAGGCACGATGGGCTGAATGGCCTCCCTCTGTGCTGTATAATTCTATGATTCTCTCCCCCACCCACTCTGTGTGAGTGACAGTTTCCCAGCCTGATCTCCGCAGATTCTCAGCATTATTATAAACCAGGAACTCGCTCCATTTCCATAACAGGTAAATTGTTGGTTTTCTCTCTTCCTATCCTGAAGGCAGAGAAGCTGAGACTTGCCTGAATGTTGCTCCCAGATTGAGCTCCTGCTCAAAGGGCACATCACCAACAATGGTGGTGCCGATGCCACAGGCCCTCACATTGATGGACTGCATGTGACTGTCCTCGATTCTCACGTGCAGTTTGTCCTCAAAGCACAGCATGTCGTTCAGATGTGCAAAGATGGTTATTGTCAACTCTTTCTGAGCTGGAACCACTCCTTCCTTGGGCTCCACGTGCCACTTGGAATGTTCTAGAATCTAAAAGGCAAGCAAGAGTGAGAAACACTGTGTTATCTGGCAGAGGCATCTCTAGCCACCAGACAACAACAACAACAATTTACATTTACATGGCTGCTTTCATGGCAGGAGGACGTCCCAAGGTGCTGGGCAGTCAGGGATTTGGACCCAAGCATGGGGTTGGGATCAGGAAAGGGGTGGAGGGCAGGGAGGGTAAGAGTAGGAGGGTGGTCGAAGGCACGGTTGAAGAGGAGGGTCTTGAGATGGGCCTTGTAGGACGCAAGGGAGGGGCGAGGTACAGAGAGGCTCTGGGATGGAGATACAGAGGGTGGGGGCAGAGAGGCTGAAGGCCCAAACTCCACTAATGGGTGGGCCAATGAGAGGCAAGTGGGGTAGGTGGAGGGGGCTACACCCTTACTAAGGGATAGACCAACCTCTGAGCTCGTCCAGACAAGCTATCAGCAGCCATCAAAGCAAAGAGCCTCACACTGTAAACAATGGAGGTGGAGTTCCAGAGAGAGGGGGCAGAATGGATGAAAACCTGATCACACCGATGATCGGGCAGATAGGGCAGGGGACATGAAGCAGGCCAGCACCCACTGAGCAGGGGGGTAGCCACGGCAGGCCCACCCATCATTCCTCACATTACCTCATATCTACAGCTCTCTGAGGCAGCGAGGAGAGTGAGGGGAAGAGAGGGGGAGGGGAGCCATGAGACAGTGGCGTAGCTAGGAATGGACATTTGGTCATTGTTTGTCCACCATAAGTTGGTGCCCATCCAAATGTCCATTCCTAGCTACACCACTGCAGTGAGCAAAGGGAACAGCCAACTCGGTACAATTTGAGGAGGTCACAGAGGGAGGGGGTGCGAGAAGGGGAGGGATTTAAAGGTGAGAATTTTGAACTTGATCTGCTGGGGATGGGGAGCCAGAAGGCCAAGTGAGTGGGGTGATAGAGAACCTGGTACAGGAGAGGACATGAGCTGCAATATTCAGACTAGTCTGCAGCTTGTGTATGGAAGAGCTGAGGAGCAGAATATTGGTGAGGTCAAGCCTGGACATGATAAATGTGTTGATGAGGGTTCCGGTCAGCACTGTAAAGCACTTTGAGACATCCCCCAGATGTGAAAGGTGCTATATAACATTTTGTGTCAGTGCCTTGGTTGATGCTGAGCAATGGGAAGGGGGAGGTGAACATAGGCGGGGTTGAAGAGGTAGGTATTAAGATGGGTTTTAAAGCTAGATTGGGGGTGGGGTGGGGTGGCGAGGCTGAGGAAATGAGGCAGAGAGTTTCAGAGGTGAGGGGGGCATTGTGGCTGAAGGTGTTGTGGAGGGAGGGGTTGGGGAATGTGCATCAGGTCTGTGTTAGCTGAGTGATGGAGCGGGCATGAGCAGGTTAGAGAGAACCGGAGGTGCCTGGGCGTGAAGGGATTTGTAAGTGAGGGTGAGGAGCTTGAAGGCGATCAATAGAGGCGATATAGAGTCAATTCACTTTACAGTATATTCTGTGAAGCGCTTTGAGACTTATTGTTGTCGGTTTACATTTGAGTCTCATTTACAGTGTTGTAATTAGAGCACGGAGTTGTTCCTGTTTCTTGTTGCCACGATACTAATTACCCCTGATTGAGATGTCAGTAGGTGTATTGAGCAGGAAGCAATGGGGTCTTTAATACCTGGGTGACTCTGAGCAACAGAAGTGTTTACTGTACACAAGCTAACGTTGATTGGACAATGATTCCACCTAATCTAGTCGGGAAGTGTTTTTATGTGGAATAATAGCTGCCTGGGAGTGATTACATGTCTGCAATCCAATTGAGTGATTTAAATGTGGAGTAGATTGTGGGAATGAGGCACATGGGAGTATAAGAGAATACACAAACTGCAGATTAGATTAGATTAGATTATAGCTGTCCTCAGCTCCTGCTTAATTACACTTATAGCTCAGTGTTGTGGAGAAACTATGTTCCTTCAGTTTGATATTACCTTCATCTTTTACTTAATAAAAAATAATCCTTGCGTTTGATATCGCGCCTCATCACATCTTCGAGACGTCTCAGAATGTACTGTGCAGAATATACTATGAAGTGAATTGATTGTATATTTTGTGGGCGAAACGCGGCAGCCAAATACGCACAGCAGCGTCCCACAAACAGTGGTGGGTTGAGTGACCAATTTATTATTGTTTTGTTTTTTGACAGTAGAACGAGGGGACACAGGTTAGAGTTGCAAAGGACAGACACTAGGAAGTTTCTCTTTACCCAGAGGGTAATTAACAAAGAAACAGGGTTACCAGGAAGGGTAGAAGGATAAACTGTAAGGTGGAGTGACTGTGTATTTTGTGGGTGAAACTCAGCAGCCAGTTAGCGCACAGCAATGGTCCATAAACAGCCTTGGAGTGAGTAACTTTTTTATTTTGGGGGATTCTTGGCCAGGACATTGGAAAAAACTCCCTTCTCTTTTTGAATAGCGCCATGAGATGTTTAATATCCACCTGAACAGGCAAATGGGACCTCATCTCATCTGAAGGATGGCACCTCCAACAATACAGCATACCCCCAGCACTGCATTGGAGCGTCAGCTTAGACTGTTTGATTCCAAGTCATGATGTGGGGCTTGAACCCACGACCTTCTGACTCAGAGACGAGAGCACTACCACTGCGCCAGGCTAACAACAAACTTGTGATGGTGTGAGTAACAGAGGCAGTGGAGAGGGAAGACTAGTGGATGAACAAGCTACTTGGAAAGGGTTGATGAGCTCAATCATGTCAGGCTTGAGAAGAGGAGTGTAAGCTGTCAGTGGGGATGGAAAAGAAACCCAGAACATTATTTTGAGATACGCAATCAGGGCTCTGAACATCACGCTTCAGGTAGAGACCAGGAAATATTTCTGTACATGGGGAGGAATCAGCAGCTGGAGGGGGGTTACTCGGAAGAGGGGAGTAGAGGGGTGTAGGAGAGGGGAATAGAGGGGTGTGGGAGAGGGGAATAAAGGGGTGTGGGAGAGGGGAATAGAGGGGTGTAGAAGGGGGGAATAGAGGGGTGTAGAAGAGGGGAATAAAGGGGTGTGGAAGAGGGGAATAGAGGGGATAGAGGGGTGTAGGAGAGGGGAAGAGAAGAGTGCAAGAGAGGGGAATTGGAGGGATGTGGCTTGAGGGGTGTACAAATGGTTGGGCTGGATGCCCTGTTTCTGTGCTGTACTGTTTCTCCTTGTAATTCTGTGTTATTGCTAGATTTATTCAGGGAGCATAAACTGTGTCACATACTTTATAGCCTGGGTTCAAAGGCTTGATGCATTTATCACAGAAGTTACTTGGCACAGAAGATACTTAAGAGTCTCAGCCTGGCTCAATTGGTATCACTCTCGCCTCTGAGTCAGAAGGTTGTGGGTTCAAGCCCCATGTTGGAACTTGGAATCTATATAATTTAAGGTGACACTATAATCCAATGCAGTGCTGGGGGAGTGTTGCATTGTCAGAGGTGCTGCCCTTCAAATGAGACATTAAACTGATGACCCATCTGCCTGCTCAGGCGGATACTAAAGATCCCATGGCGCTATTCAAAAAGGAAGGGAGTTTCTCTCTCCCCCGGTGTCCTGGCCAACAATCCCCTGAATAAAAATGGTAACTCACCCATGACTCTTTGTGGGAAATTCAAGTGTGTAATTCGGCTGCCGCGTTTGCTCATAAAGTACACAGTCACTACAGTTTGCAGTAAATCTTGTTGGCTGCTTTGAGATGTCTTCATGATGTGATAAGATGCTTTATCAAATAATAATAATAATCGTTGCATTTGATACCCCGCCTTATCATATCTTCAAGACGCTTCAAAGCACTTCACAGAATATACTGTAAAGTGAATTGACTGTATATTTGTGGAATCGCAAATTGCGGCAGCCAATTGCGCACAGCAGTGTCCCACAAACAGTCGTGGATTAGGTGACCAAATGTAAGGATTGTGGAAGTAACCTTTCATTCCCAGCGTTCCAGAGATATGGATTGCCGTCAGCTCACCCCGATCTCTGCACTGTCGCACTCTGCCCACCATCCAAGCGACCAATTTGGTTCATATGTGTTAGTGTTGATTCTGAAATCATTGACTTTTCTACCATCCCTGAAGGAGCTTTGTATCTACCGGGTGACACAGAGCATGGCACGGGGCACCACGTGGCATGGGGCACAGAATTGCACAGGGCGCTGAGCAGGGCGCGGGGCGCTGAGCAGGGCGCGGGGCGCTGAGCAGGGCGCGGGGCGCGGAGCAGGGCGCGGGGCGCGGAGCGCGGAGCAGGGCGTGGGGCGCGGAGCAGGGCGCGGGGCGCGGAGCAGGGCGCGGGGCGCGGAGCAGGCGGGGGCGCGGAGCAGGGCGCGGGGCGCGAGCAGGGCGGGCGCGGAGCAGGGCGCGGGGCGCGGAGCAGGGCGCGGGGCGCGGAGCAGGGCGCGGGGCGCGGAGCAGGGCGCGGGGCGCGGAGCAGGGCGCGGGGCGCTGAGCAGGGCGCGGGGCGCTGAGCAGGGCGCGGGCCGCGGAGCACGCCGCGGGGCAGTGAGCACGGCGAGGGCAGAGAGCACGGCGCGGGCAGAGAGCACGGCACGGGCAGAGAGCATGGCACAGGGCAGAGAGCATGGCACAGGGCAGGCCTGCACTTAACTCTGTTCTTTGCCACTTTGAGTTTATAAATAATGGCAGTGAAGGTTTAAATTATAAATCACATCACATTAAGATTTAATTATACATAGAAATCAAAACACTGTTATTTGCAAGTGCACGGCTCACACTGGGTAAGTCAGTCATCTCATCGGCCCATTAATACACAACACACATCATGGTGGGGAACATGTTTAACACTAGAGCTGCAGGTCTGGCAATCCACACCCCACGTTATAAACACTTTAATTGCCTGGACAGTCCTGGGTACTGAGGACAGTGGACAGCCCACTACACTATTGTTGTTGCTGCACTTTACTGACGGAAGTTCACCTGGAGACCAGGAACACTCTCCCTCTTTGAAATACACTGATAGGTTCATCTGACATGAACGCCAAGCTCTGGCACAGACTGGCTGCTGTGTTTTGCTTATTTAACAATGTCTCTACTTCAGGGTAACTAATTATGTAAAGCTTTGATTTCCATAGAGTGTACAGCATGGAAACAGGACACACGACCCAACCAGTGTGTGTGTGTGTTTAATTATGTATTATTGGTGGGCGAGGTTAGACCTGCTCAACCCCCATTAAGCCAAATTAGCCCAAATTAGTTCCACTTTGGGAACGAGGGTTGTCCCCGCAGACTAGCCCCTCCCCCCAAACGCTTCTAGGCCCCAAATTGTCAAAGGACAATGCGGACCTGAACCATAACTTCACGGCCACCCACGCAGGTCAGGTGACCGGATGGCCTCTCTGGCAGGGCAAGCCCGGCCTGAGTCTAGTAACCAAGTACTTAAGTTCAAGAACTGTTTGTTTCCTCTTTGTGAAAGCAGATCAAAGTCCTTAGATCAGAAGTTCTGCAGTAATGATCCCAACATAGGGCTGAACATAGCTACAGCTCGGAGCTCAATCCTTCCCAATAATGCGCCAGTTATGAGTGAGATTTGGTTTGGAAATCGCAACAGCTTCCCCAGCAATATTAGCTCTAGAAATAACTGTATAAGAACAGGGACTACACAGTGTTTATACTCTAATACGAGTCTCCTCCACCCCTCCCTCCCTCTCTCCCACACCCTTCTCCTCCCCGCTCCCTCATGTGAAGGTCCAGCTTCCTCTTGAATACATCTACACTATCTGATTCCACCACCGCTTCAGGCAGCGAGTTACACAATCTCACTCCCCTCTGTGTGAAGTAGTTTCTCCTAAACTCTCTTTTAGACACTCCCCCTCCCCTTCCCGTCTGGATCTTATACACATTCAGTGGAACACAGCACAACATCCAATGCCAGTGTGGTTGTATTGTCAATGCTGTAACTGAGTGGAGTGAGCAGCCAGACCAGGCCTGTCTCAGGACAAACTGTCCTGGACGCTCTACATTCCGTGTCTGTGAGCTGGACTCAGAGCGAGTTATATGAAACCTCTGCATAAATCACTGATAGGTTACTCTGGTGTGAATGTCAATCAATACAATCACAGCCTGCACTTCCATGTCTGGTCACACACTGCGCAGGTCAGCAGTCAGTCCAGATCATTCCTCTCCTGAAGTCCTCACCATGTTACACAGTCTCACTGAGAGAAGGTATCTGGTGTAACATGACATGGACAAGAGTAACAGACAGGGAGAATTGCCACCAGTGAACACCGCTCACCTTCATAGAATCATAGAATATTACAGCACAAAAGGAGGCCATTCGGCCCATCAGGCCTGTGCTGTTTGGAAGAGCTGCCCAATCAGTCCCATTCCCCCGCTCTCTCCCCAAATCCCTGCAAATTTTCCCTTTCCAACTCCCTATCCAATTCCCTTTTGAAAGTTGTTATTGAATTGGTTCCCACCGACCCTCTCAGGCCGTGCATTCCAGACCCTAACAACTCTCTGGGTAAAAAATTTTTCCCTCTGGTTCCTTTGCCAATTATCTTGAATCTATGTGCCCTGGTTACTGATCCACCCAGTAGAGGAAACAGTTTCTCCTGATCTACTCTCCCAAATCCCCTCATAATTGTGAACACCTTTATTAAATCTCCCCTTAACCTTCTCTGCTCCAAGGAGAACAATCCCAGCCTCTCCGCATAACTAAAATCCCTCATCACTGGTACTATTCTGGTAAATCTCCTCTGCGCCCTCTCCAAGGCATTGAAATCCTTCCTATTATTTCTTATTATTTGATTACAGGAAACATGATAATCTTTATAAGATACTACTATGTGATGCTACTAATACAAATTATATTTATATTTATTTAACACCTTTCATGTTGGGAGGACATCGCAAAACACTTAACAAGACCATCTGGGCATCTGATAATGTGGGAGCCAAGTGCGGGGGAGGTGGGGGAGATGACTGAAAATGCAGTGAAAGAGGAAGGTCTTGAGATGGACCTTGCACAAGGCGAGGGAAGGAGGGAGCGAGCTGGAGGGACTCCGAGATGGGGTTCCAGAGAGTGGGGGCAGAAAGGCTTTGGGGCAGGGGTGAATCTGAGTGAAGGGAACGGCTGAGTCAGTAAGCATCAAGAAGGTCACAGAGGTTGGGTTGGGCAAGAACATGGATGGATTTAAAGGTGAGGACAAGGATTTTAAACTCAAATCATGGGATGGGGAGCCAATGGAGCTGGGCGAGGTTGGGGCTGATAGGCTCATGGAACCCGTTATGGGAGCCTGCACAGGCTCCCATAACACAGCCTGCAGAGTTCTGGATAGTCTAATTAGTCTAAATATAACCTGATGTTTATCACTGGGTACAGTTATTGCTGATATTTATTATTGGCTGTGAATGGCTTACCATCTCAGTTGTGAATTTGGCTGGGATGAGCGACTCGTTGGAAAGGTGGATGATCCTGGGGATGTCTCTAAGGACCTGAATCTTGCCCCAGTCGATCTTGGTTGGGGTGATGTGGACCACTGGCCCCTCACCCATAACGGACAAGAGAACATTCTGCTCAGAGAGAGAGAGAGAGCATCAGACGGACACTGGTAATACACAAACGGTGGGATTGTGAGAGGATTCAGGAATTGCAAACCCTGCCCAAACTAAGGAGTGTCTCCTCTCCACCCCGGCTCTCCTCTGGTATATTGATCTCCGAGGAGAATCTGCCAGAGCCTTCATGACAGTCAGGAATGGGAGATCAGCGTCAGTCACACCCACACATAAACCTGTCGGATTCGGAATTCACAAACCATTTTAAGTTCCTCGCAGGGTGGACCTTATTGCGTTATGATGACAGGGCAACAGACAGAGAATGTAACAGATCCCAGAGTATGCATTGGGGTATCAGGTAGCGAGAGACCTGAGTTCAATCCCAGGCAGAGGGCGAAACCTTGGGCAAGTTTCCTTACTCCACACAGAGCCTAATAATAATCCCTCCAAAATCAAAAACAATAATAAATTGGTAATTTTCAATCTACGACTGTTTGTGGGACATTGCTGTGCGCAATTGGCTGCCGCGTTCGCCCACAAATATACAGTCAATTCACTTTACAGTGTGTTTTGTGAAGCACTTTGGGACGTCCTCCCGACGTGAAAAGCGCTATATCAAATGCAAGGATTATTATTATTATTATTATTGGTGTACCATCTAAAACCGCACAGCTTGCCATTGCGAGCATTACCTGGCAAGCTTTCCTGCTGCTTGTCCAGCTAGGGACCACACTACCCATTAGAGCTTTGGCTAACATTAACACACACAATCACACGCTTTCCCCTCTCTGCCCCATTTCTATGTAACTCTCAATTAGAACATTTTTATTCCTGTCTTGATAAAGATCCCACTCACCATGAAAGCTTCAGTTTGGCCCAATATAAATATCTTAGCGACCTCCATCTGGCTGCCTAGGTGCTGCACCTCCACCTGGAAAGGGACATCCAGGGAGGACAAAGGCTGGATAATGCCGTATGGCTCCAGGCAGGAGTACAGAAGGCTGGGATTGTCTGTTCTATCCTGTGGGAAATAAAACAGAAACATCAACCCCAGGAAGGTCTGTGCCCCCAGCTCACCGTGAGGACCACTGTCGCTGACAGTCATAAACAGGTGACAGATAAACCCCTTTAACATCTTCAGAGCGTAGTAACTGTGTATTTGTGGATGAACGCAGCATTTGTACACAGCAACATCTGACAAACAGCCCTGAAGTGCACAGTCAAATTTTATCTGGGAGATTGTTGGCCAGGACATCAGGGAAACTCCTTTCTCTTTTCAAATAGTGCCGCGGGATCTTTAAATTCCACCTGAACAGTCAGGACCTTGGTTTAACGTCTCATCTGAAGGACGGCACCTCCAACAATGCAGCAATTCCTCCAGCACTGCACTGGAGAGTCAGCCCAGACTGTGAGTTCAAAGCCCCGATGTTGCTCACAACCTTCTGGCTCAGAGACGACCAACTGAGGGAAGGAGGGTGGGCAGCGGTGGGTAAGGAGGGGTGGGCAGGGAGGGAGAGTGGGCAGGGGTGGGTAAGGAGGGGTGGGCAGGGAGGGAGAGTGGGCAGGGGTGGGTAAGGAGGGGTGGGCAGGGAGGGTGGGCAACAACAATAACAAAATTACATTGTATAGCACCTTTCATGTTGGGAGGACGTCCCAAGGCACTGGACAGTCAGTGTTTCGGACCTGAGCTGGGGGTCGGGGTCGGGAAGGGCGGGGGGGTGGGGAAGCAGGGTAATCAAAGTCGAAGAGGAGGGTCTTGAGCTGGGTCTTGAAGGAGGCAAGGGAGGGGGCAAGGCAGAGGGACACAGGATGGAGTTCCAGAGGATAGGGGCAGAATGTAGAAGGCCCATCCGCCAATGGTGGGGCGGGTGATGCGGGGCACGTGAAGCAGGCCGGAGCCCACTGATCGGAGGGAGCGGGCAGGATGGTAGGAGGGTAGAGGATCGCAGAGTTCGGGGGGAGCAAGGCGATGGAGGGCGCTGAAGGTGAGGACCAGGATTTTGAACTGTATCCTCTGTGTGATGGGAAACCCGTGGAGTCGGGTGAGGATGGGGGTGATAGGGTCACGGAGTTTGGTGCGGGAGAGGACACGGGCTGCAGAGTTCTGGATGATCTACAGCCTGTGGAGGGAGGAGTTGGGGGCCGACAAGCAGGGAGTGCATAGTCAAGCCTCAATTTGATGAACCTCTGCCTCCTCGTCCTCATCAACCCAGAAGGTTGAACTGGAAGGTAAGGAGAGGGGTAGGGATGGGATCGAGGGAGCAGGTGGTCAGTTTCATGCCGGTTAATAATGGTGGTGAGAGAGGAGTGGGAGACAGGTTCGAAGGTGTGGAGGGAGGGATGGGTAGTGGCCAGTTTGTGAGGGCAAGATGTGGAGGGGATAGTAGATGGAAGGGCAGGGGCAGAGGTTACTGCTCAATCAGGTCAAGAGCAATGGAGGAGGATCAGCTTCTCCCACTGCAAGGCTTCAATTAACTTAAAAATGGATATGTCTGAGACCAAAGTGGCAGGCTCTCTCCCAGCATCACTGTTCCATCAATCCCGTTCAGTCAGTATGGCAGTGGTCCTGGGGTCAGGGGGTGGAGGCAAAGACATAGAGGGTGCTATCTCCATACATGTGGAAGTTAACCCCTTGCCTGGGATGATGTAGACATTAAAGAGAACCGAGGTTAGAGCGCTGAGCAATTCCACACGTGATAGTGTGGAGGAGGGAGGAGAAGCCAGTTGAAGAGACAAAGTGGAGACTTTGAGATTGGGTAAGAGTGAAACCAGGAGAACCATGAAGGTGGAACTGAGAGGAGAGGTGGTGGACAGTGTTGCAGGCGGCAGAGAGATCATGAGAAGCTGATGGGAGGATTCGTCCCAGTGACTGATCTGCCCTTCCAGGTGCTGTCACCAGTGCCCTGGAGTAGGTGTGGACCTGCCTGGGACAAGACCTGGGACTGGAGACCGCCACAGGTGATGGGCTCAACTCTGACATTCCGTTGTCCATCACATCACTTTGGAGCCAGTTCAGTTCCAGGGTGACCCCACTTACCCCCCTCTCTAACTCTCACACACACAAACACACAACACACACACATACAAGGGTGATAGATGCTCTGAAGTGCTAAGAAATAGAGTAAATGAAACTTCAGGGGGAATTTCTCTCTTCAGTGAAAATAATCGTTGCAATTGATTACAAAGTAATTGCTGTCAGAGTTGTGTAGTCTGTGCAGTGCAGGCAAACTTGGCAGCCAATTCACACGAACAAGGTTCGACAAACAGCCATGAGGGGAATGGCCAATGTAGCCGGGGGATTGTGGGCTAGGACACTGAGTAAGATTCTGATCGCTTTTCTAACAGTGTAAGGGATCTTTAACATCCACCTGAACAGGCAGATGGACCCTGAGCTCAAAGTCCCAAAGTGAGACTCGAACGCACAACTTTTTGACCAGTGGGGGAGCGAGCACCAGCACAGAAATGATAGGGAGAGAGCAGGGAATGGGGTTAGAGTAGAGAGCTCCAGTGGGGGAGCGAGCACCAGCACAGACACCATGGGGAGAGAGCAGGGAATGGGATGGGAGGCGTCGGAGCTCTGAGCCATTGTAATGAGCACTGACCTGCTCAATTATCCCGTAGCATGCTGGAAGCTTGCTGCTGTTGTAAAGTCTGACTATTTTCTGATACGGGTACTTGAGAAAGCATCGTTGAAACTGCAGCTCGGAGGTCAGCAGCTGCACATTGGGCACCACACAGCTGTGAGGACAAGAGAGGGCAAGACACACAGTGATCAGAGCTCCGGCTCCAGAAGAACAGCACTCCTCACATCACACTGACCCACCATCAACAGCAGGGGGAAGAGCACAGCAGAGTATTTACACCATTAAACCAGTCATTTTGGAAAATACATAAAAATCACATTATACCTCTAACCAGTTCTCTATACTGGATCCCATACTGGGTCCTATTTTGGCCACAGTCTTATCCACCTTTTTTTCTGTGGGTGAGGGTTCATTTTCTGTGGGTGGAGGTTAATTTTCTGTGGGTGGGGGTTAATTTTCTGTGGGTGGGGGTTAACAACCGGCTTCAAAATTACGCCTGATTCACCAAATTCAGGGGTTGTGAAATGCAGCATATCAGTCCCTCTGGCCCGCGATCGACAGAGCAGAAATAACAGAAATTAAGCATAAAGAAACACTTAACAAGCTAATTCTGCAGGGGCTTAAAGCTGTAATGGACTGAAGTCTCTCTTAATGCCATAATGTACTTTCAGGTTATTAAATATTGATGCTGTGCTCTCTCTGTGGCTGAGCGTCTGGGGCTGGGATGGAGTTGAGCTGAGAGAGAGGAGAGGCTTACCGGGCCTGAATAGGGATCCCCATCACTTCCTCATGAACGTTCTCAATATCCACAACCAAGGCCAACTCATACTTCTTCAGTGAGTTGGAGCACAGCGTGATCTGCCAGAGACACGGGCAATAATAATAAAATAATAATTATCCTTGCATTTGATACAGCGCCTTATCATGTATTCTAGACATTTCAAAGCCCTTCACAGGATAGACTGTAAAGTGATTTCACTGTATACTTTGTGGGCGAAACACGGCAGCCAATTGCACAAGCAGCATCCCACAAACAGCCGTGGATTGAGTTACCACATTTTTTTATTTATGTATATTTTTGAAGGGATTATTACCCACGGAAAAACAATCCACCAATTGACTATCTGGGTTCCTAATTACTGCTAGACAAACAGAGGCATGTGGAATAAGAAAACTTGCCGAAGCTTTCGCCCTGCCTGGGAGGAACACCTCAGTGAGACATTAACACACATACAGTAAACTCCCGATAACTCAACACTCCAAGCGAAAAGATCTCGGTGACGAGTTCTCCAGAGCTACAAGTCAAGCAAATGTATAAACATATAAATGAATGAGTCTGGGATATTGACAGCATGGTGACTTAAGTGATAGTGACAAGTTAAGCCAGGGTTGAGATATCAGGGGTTTACCATAATAACAGCACTCCAGCACATTGTCAAAACATCTCAAAACAGTGTCACCTGTGTATTTTGTGGGCAAACATGACAGCCAGTTCGCGCACAGCAATGTGCCCACAAACAGCCATGGAGTGAGCGACAAATTTTATTTGAGGGATTATCGGCCTGGATACTGGGAGAGAGAAAATCCCTTCTCTTTTCAAATAGCGCCATGAGATGTTTAACATCAACCTGAACAGCCCCACACGGGGCCTCAATTCAAAGTCTGATCTGAAGGATGGCACCTCTGAAAATGTTGCACTGCCCCAGTAGCCTAGACTGAGAGCTCAAAACCCTGATGTGGGCCTTTTTTGTTTGCCCAGCCGGGTGTCTGACACACGCGGAAACCCAACACCGTGCTTAAAAGGATCCAAACCAAGCTGAGAATTCCAGGCACACATGGAAATCCCAAAGATAGATTGTTGGAATGGAACGCTCTCTCTCTCTCTCCCTTGAGGGATGTATCCTGCTTACCTAATTCCAGAAAGTATTAGGCACAGGTTGACAAGAGCCAAGGCTTGGGGTGCCCAGAGTGTGCATTGAGGTAATTGCTGGAGTCTAACCAGCTAAATCCACACAGCTTGCCATTGATATTGCTGTCCAGCAAGTTTTCCCGCTGCTTGTCCAGCTAGGACCAACCTTCCCGTTAGGGCGTTGGCTGCAGGGTTAAGAGCTGAATAGCCTGAATCCACAACCTTCTGCCTCAGAGGCCAGAGTGACTGAGTGAGTAAGTGAGTGAGTGAGGCAGACAGCGTGGGGAGAGTTGATTGAGCTGCCTGTGATGAAGGGGAAAGAGCTAGAAAGTGGAGTGAATAATAAATGGTGACATTACAGTGAGCGAGCGAGCGAGCACACATGATTGCTCTCTCTCTGAGCTGCAAACTAGAGGACATCCCAGGTGCACATCAGCTGCCGGATTTGGCTCTGTGACAACATTTACTTCATTTCTAATTAACCTCGCTCGTTAAAGCAGGTTGTGAAACTTTGAAGTGAAAGGCACTGGAGCAACACAAGTTGTTCTAAAGCCAAGGTTCTGATAGCAGTTTCTCAAAGTCTGACAGTGACGTTCAAGGGGAGCTCGGCTGGTTCTGGCTTCACACATCCCCTGGTTATCACAGAGCTCCGTCACTGAGCATGAGGTCGCTCCTGGCTGTCCCCAACAGTCTCAAACCCCTTCCCCCCAATCCCCCACATTCGCTCCCCTCCCCCCGCTCCGAACATGATAGCCAAATTGCACACACTGAAATATAATAATAATAATCCTTGCATTTGATATAGCGCTTTTCACGTCTTCTAGACCAAAGCGCTTCACAGGATATACTGCAAAGTGAATTGACTGCATATTTGTGGGCAAACACGGCGGCCAATTGCGCACAGCAGCGACCCACAAACAGTTGTGGATTGTGTTACTAAATTATTATTATTACTTATTTACTTGCAAGCGAGACACCTGGGTTCAATTCCAGGCAGGTCAGGGCGAAACCTTGGGCAAGTTTCCTTACTCCACACAGAGCCTAATAATAATCCCTCCAAAACCAAAACCAATAATAAATTGGTCATTTTCAATCCACGACTGTTTGTGGGACATTGCTGTGTGCAATTGGCTGCTGCGTTCACCCACAAATATACAGTCAATTCACTTTACAGTGTGTTCTGTGAAGCGCTTTGGGACGTCCTCCTTTGGCCCTTTGCCTGGAATTGAACTCAGGTCTCTCACTTGCACTATAGTCTAGGACTTGGAACTCCTATAGTCTAGGCTGACACTCCAGCACAATGCAGTGCTGGGGGGTGTTGCATTGTCAGAAGTGTGACAATGGGACATTAAACCAAGGTCCCGTCTGCCTGTTTAGATGGATGTTAAAGATCCCATGGCACTGTTTGCAAAGAGAAGGGAGTTTCTCTCTGCTGGTGTCCTGGCCAACAATCCTTCAGATAAAATTGGTCTCTCGCTCAATGGCTGGTTGTCAAATACTGTTGTTGTAAATTGCCGACAAAACACACAGACACTGCACTTTACAGTAAATCCTGTGAAGTGGCGTTGGGATTCCTGTCTTCCTGAAAGGTGCTGGATCAATGCAAGGATTATTATCATGTCTTGTCAGGACAATGCACACTGATTAGCTGCATGTTCACCTACAAATGCAGTCAATACACTTGCTCTCTCCCTCCAGAGCAGGTTAATTATTAATCTGTTAAAACAATACAGATGCATGCAAGCAATGGATCATCTGCAAAGATAATATTATTATCACTAATAATCCTTGCATTTGATATAACACATCTGAAAGCACTTCACAGAATATACTGTAAAGTGATTTGACTATATTTTGTGGGCAAAACACGGCAGCCAATTGCGCACAGCAGTGTCCCACAAACAGTCGTGGATTGATGGATACATTTTTTTGGGGGAAAAAATAATCTCACGCCTGTGCTCAGTGTGAGGCCACGTGGCAATACCTGCAGGTCCATTTTGCCCTGGGATCTGACCACCCCATGGAAGGGCTCTATAGTGAACTCCTTGGGGTTTGCCCCTCCTTTGCCCTTCCTAGGCTGCCTGATTTTCGAGATGTACTTGAGGCTGGTCAGACTGGGCTCTCCCGTTCCGTCACCAGAGACTCGCAGGTCAAATGTCATGGGGACCAGCGAGGAGTTTGTCAGGCAGCAGGTTATCACGCTCGGGAAACCTGGATTGTAAATAGAAATTACATTTAATAAAAGACTTTATCCAGAGCAGATTAATTATTGATCGGTTAAAACCGTACAGATCCCAATTTCTTATCTCTCTGCTTTATCTCTCCTCTGTGATGTCTGACATTTCCTTTTACTATTCCACAAACTCTCTCTCTGGTCTCGGTGACATTCAGCTGTAGAAAGTTAGAGGCATCTGACAGGCAATCAGTCAGGATAATAGTGGTCCTGGAAGCGAGAGTGGAGGCAGAGAGATAGAGTTGGGTGTCATCCGCATACCTGTGGAAATGGACCCCACGTCTGCAGATGCTGTCACCAAGGAGAAGATAGATAGTGAGGAGGAGAGGAACGAGGATAAAGCCCTGAAGAACACTGCATGGGACTGTGTAGGTACAGAAGGTGAAGCATATTAAGACAAAACAAAATTAATGTTATGTTCTGAACACACAATCTGAAGAAAACTCTTTTATTCTCAGCTCGCAAGTTACACATCAAAGCAATCCAACCAAAAAGCCTCCAGTCAGATCTCCCTGCTTCCTGCTTTTCTACTCCTGATCCCCGTTCAATGGTCCTAGTTAATTGGTCCTTATTTTCTTAAAGGTAATCCAACAATGAAGATGGGAAGGTAAGAGTGAAACCAGGATAGGACAGAACCGTGGGGTAGAGCCAGTGTAGAAGGATGGAGTGGTTGATGGTGTTGAAAGCAGCAAAGACATTCAGGAAATAAGGAACACAGGAGCCCTGGTGACCCTTTAGGAGGGAGTGAGGCAAAGGGACTGTCAGTTGGAGTTCCAGTAGGTGGGGGCAGAGAGGCTGAAGGCCCAAGACAGAGAGGAGGAGGGAGACAGAGATGAGGAGGGAAACGGAGAGGAGGAGGGAGACGGAGAGGAGGAGGGAGACGGAGAGGAGGAGGGAGACGGAGAGGAGGAGGGAGACGGAGAGGAGGAGGAGAGAGGTTGGATAGTGAGACTCCTGGTGATTGTGTGAGGACCCCCTGTCGGTGCTGACAACAGCCTGGGACACCATCTCACACTTTATAATAATAATAATCCTTGCTGTGACAAGCCAGGAGTCGGCTCGCAGCACATTGCCTGTGCTGTACCGGGCATTCTGCCAGCACAAACATCTCCAAGCCATTGGAGAGGCATTCACAGACTGGGTGTAATACTGTTCTGCTCAATATCTTTCTCAGGAATATCGTGCTGGCCGGGGCTCTGTGTGAGAGTCCGACTCAGCTCTCAGTCACTGGCAGTCCTGTAATCAGCCCTCCACTCTCAGCTCACAGTAAGCCAAACACAACAGTGTGTAGCAATTAACCTGTGGGCAGACCGACCAACGCTGAGATTATTACAAGATCAACCTTCTGCTGTCACAGCAGCGTCACCCTGCGGCAACCCACCTGCCACATTGCAACCACACAGCTCCAACAACAACAACAGGCATTTATATAACGTCCTGGAGCGCTTATCAGTAGCGGAGTCTGACCCCGACCAGGGGGAGAGGGAGGTGGGAGGTGACCGTAAGCACCATCAAAAAGGAAGGTCTTTAGGCGGGATTTGAGTGGGGGGTGGGGGGAGCGAGATGGGGTGAGGCGGGGGGGGATTGAGGGAGAGAATCCCAGAGCTTTGAGGGTGCAGAGCGAGGGTGAAAGGCATTTGATAAAGGCCGGGGACTAGACAGGTGGTGGTGGGGGGGGAGGGGGGGAGGTGGATAGGGGAATTGGCTTCAAAGTGACGAGGTTGACAACAAAACAAATCGAGCCAGCCCTCTGTGACAGTCTCTAGTCCGGTTCTTGCAATATTCCAGGGCACTCACTGATGACAGCACAGCCCAGCCTGGCTCATCAGCAGAACAGACCAGTCACTGCGGGCAGAGAGTTATCCCATTCAGCTCTCGTTGACCCTTAGGCCTAGTGGGTAGGGTGGTCCTATTCATAACATCCAGGCTTGATTATGCAAACTCATTCCTTGTCGGCCCCCAACTCCTCCCTCCACAGGCTGCAGATCATCCAGAACTCTGCAGCCCGTGTCCTCTCCCGCACAAACTCCGTGACCCCATCACCACCATCCTCACCCGACTCCACTGGCTTCCCCTCACACAGAGGATACAGTTCAAGATCCTGGTCCTCACCCTCAAAGCCCTCCAATGCCTTGCTCCCCCGACCTCTGCCACCTCCTAACCCCCTACCATCCTGTCGGCTCCAGCCTGCTTCATGTCCCCCGCCTCGCTCGCTCTACCCTTGTGCAGGCGGACCTTCAGCCACTCTGCCCCACTCTCGGGAACTCCATCCCGCAGTCCCTCTGTCTCGCCCCCTCCCTTGCTTTCTTCAAGACCCATCTCAAGACCCTCCTCTTCGACCGTGCCTTCGATCACCCTCTTCCACCCCCCCCCCCACCCTCCATCTTCCCCGACCCTGACCCCCAGCTCAGGTCTGTAACGTTGAATGTCCAGGCCTTGGCACGTTCTCCCGATGTGAAAGGAGCTTTACACATGTAATTTTGTTGTGGTTGTTGTCCTAGCAGTTGTTGTACAAGCAGCAGGAAAGCTTGCCTGACAGTGCTCTCAATAGCAAGCTATGCTGTTTTGGATGGTTAGACTCCAGCAGTTACCCCAATGTACACTCTGGGGTCCCCAAGCTTTGGTTCACACCAACCTGTGCCTAAATTAGGTAAGTCGGGTGACACAGGCCATGTATAGGTGGCCTAATCTCCAGCTCACCTGCCCACCTTTAATATTCTTTTTCGAATTTTTATCCAATTATCTTTGACAAGCACCGGTGTCAGCCCCGGCTCCGAGTCAGAAGGTTGGGTGTCAGGTGAACTCATATTCCAAGCTGACATTCCAGAACAGAGCTGGGGGACCACTGCATTGTCGGAGATGCCGTCCTTCAGATGAGACATTAAACTAATGTCTCATCTGCCTGTTCAGATGGACATTAAAGATCCCATGACATGTTGCAAAAAGAGAAGGGTGTTTCCCCCTCCTTCACCGCCAATCTCCCAAATAAAATGGGTCATTCACATCACGGTTGTATGGAGCACAGTACTGTGTGCAAATACACGTAACAGAAGCGGTTCAGAATGGCCTCCTGATGTGAAAAAAACTATATCAAATGCTAGTGTGTAACTGTCAGGTTTGTGCCAAAAACAACAACAACAATGCAGGGAGAGGACAGAGCATTTTGGGGGAAAGCAACTCTGATTGGGAGCAGCAGCTAAAACACGCAACCTGAGACGGGCAGAGGGCTCCGCATTCCCCTCGACCTTAAACATCCCCCTAAAGGGCAGCCAGGGAGTCTCCCTGGGAATATTCCATCCCTTTATGTGAAAGGCCAGTGGGAATCTGGAACTCTCTCCCTCCCCAAAAGGCTGTGAATTATGGCTGAATCCATTCACATCTTCAAACCTGTCCAACATCAAGTCCTGGACGAGGGACAACTTTCTCCAACTGAACGTCAGCAAGACCGAGGCCCTTCTGATTGGCTCGTGCCAGCGCCTCCGCACCTCGGGCACTGGCAACATCAGCCTCCATGGCTGCACACTCAACCTCACTAAGCCGGTCAGGAACCTGGGAGTCTTGTTTGACCCTGAACTGTCCTTTCTCCCCCACATCCGCACCATGACGGGCACTGCCTACCACCACCACCGCAACATTGCCAGACTCCGCCACTGCCTCACCCCTCAGCCCCCAAACCCCCACCCACACCTTCGTCACCTCAAGGCTCGATTACAGGAACTCCCTCCTCATCGGCTTCACAACTCTTCCCTCCACAAACTGCAGATCATCCAAACCTCTGCAGCTCATGTACTCTCACGCACCAGTGACCCCATCACTCCCACCCTCGCCCGACCCCATCACCCTCACCCGACCCCATCACTCCCACCCTCGCCCGACCCCATCACTCCCACCCTCGCCCGACCCCATCACTCCCACCCTCGCCCGACCCCATCACTCCCACCCTCGCCCGACCCCATCACTCCCACCCTCGCCCGACTCCACTGGCTCCCCATCCCCCAGAGGATCGAGTTCAAGATCCTGGTCCTCACCTTTAAGGCCATCCATGGCATTGCCCCCTCCCACCTCTCTGACCTGCTGACTCCCTACCAACCCGCCCACTCCCTCCGTTCAGCTCCGGCTGCTCCATGTCTCCCGCCCGACCCGACCCTACCATCAGTGGCCGGGCTTTCAGCCTCTCTGCCCCCACACTCTGGAACTCCATCCCATGGTCCCTTGGCCTCGCTTCCTCCCTCACCTCCTTCAAGGCCGGTCTCAAGACCCTCCTCTTCAATCGTGCCTTCAGTAGCCCTCCCACCTCTCTGCCTTCCCTCCCCCCTACCCCACCCCTCCCCCTTACCCCACCCCTCCCCCCTGCTTAGGTCCTGACCTCTGACTGTCCAGCACCTTGGGACGTCCTCCCGATGGGAAAGGCGCTCTATAAATGTCATTTTGTTGTTGTTGTGGGTAGATGTTTGTTAGGTCAGGGTATCAAGGTATATGGGGCAAGGGCGGTTAATTAGACTTGAGGTGCAGATCAGCCATGATCTTATAGAATGGTGGAACAGGCTGGAGGGGCTGAATGGCCTCCTCCTGTTTCTATGTTCCTGTGTTTAAAACTGCAGGAAAACCGACCCGTTTGTCCAAGGGCTTGTTTCAGACTAACGGGCCATTGGGGGGCACTAGTGCGCCACGTACTCACCAAACGAGACGTCTCCGAAGTTGAGTGTGGGCGAACTGAAGTGGAACGTGGGTCCTATGACACAGCCCCTGCGGAACACAAGCCGTTAGTAACACGCTGGAGCGGGGAGGGCGGGCTGCAGCAATTAATAAAGCATCTGAGAAGCTGGGAGGTGGGGGGGTGGGGGGGGGGGGAAGGCGCTGTTAGCAGTCACAAGGTGTCTGCTCAGCGCGTTTCAATGATAATGAAAGCAAGTCAAGGTGACTGCGCGCAAACACACAGAGAGGGAGAAAGACTTGGCGTTTCTCACAACACAAGCCGGGGATGGATGGACAGGCTGCAACGCTGCTCTCTGACACATTACTGGCTACACATTCCCACCATTTCATACAGCTAATACATTGGCTTTGTTATCAGCTTCTCACACGCACCACATCTTGCCCTTCATTTCAAAGTCGTTCTTGTTCCCCATAAGTTTCTTTCACGAACGACAGAACGAGAACTGGATTCAAAGTTCAGACTGAATTTAACAGTAACCAGAATCCTGGGCACTCCGAGCTGATAATGAGGCTGACACTGGGGGCTACAGGCTGCTGTGCTGTGCGGCGATTGTGTCGGGACCCCCTCACAACAGGGACTAGCGACCCCTCTAACCCACTCCCTCCCTCCCTCCGTCAATCTAGACCCAGGTGGAGTCTCTCCCTGACTCGGAAACAAAACCAAGTAGTATTAAGCAGGAGCACGGTGATCTCGGAGGAAGCGGGTTAGAGGGGTCGCTGGTCCCTGTTGTGAGGGGGTCCCGACACAATCGCCGCACAGCACAGCAGCCTGTAGCCCCCAGTGTCAGCCTCTCACAACCCAGACACAGGTCACTTCACTCCTTGTCCACACACGTTACCGGGCAGGGCAAAGCATTGGGCAAGTTTCCTTACTCCACCACAAGCCTCTGTTTACCCAGCAGTAAATAAGAACCCTGTTGTTAGTCGATTGGTGGATCGCTTTTCCGGGGATAATAATCCCTTTGAAAAAGCCTCTCACACCCCAGACACAGGTCACTTCACTCCTTGCCCACACACGTTCACTCTCAGTTGCTACTTTACCCCCAACCCCACACCCCACTATAAATAATAATAATCCTTGAATTTGAAATAACATCTTTTCACATCTTCGAAACGTCTCAAAGCGCTTCACGGGAAACACTGTAAGGTGAATTGATTGTGTATATTTGTGGGTGAAACACGGCAGCCCAATTGCTTACAGCAGTGTCCCACAAACAGTTGCGGATTGAGTGACCAAATTATTATTATTATTGAAGGGATTATTACCCCCGGAAAAGCGATTCACAAATCAACCAACAACTGGGTTCCTACTTACTGCTGGGTAAACAGAGGCGTGTGGAGTAAGGAAACCTGCCCAATATTTCGCCCTGCCCGGGATCACACCCAGGTCCTCTCACTTGCGATGTGAGTGCTCTAACCACTGAGCTACAGGACTCCACCAGTGAATCTGCTTTCCAATCCTACACTGCTAATCACTTGAATTCCTCCCTCAACAACAACAACAGCAACAGCAGCAACAACAATCTGAAGGGTCCATTTATACAGTGTCCTTTTTTTTGTCAGCTGGGTGTCTGCCACATGCGGAAATCCATCACCGTGCTTAAGAGTATCCAAACCAAGATTTCCGTGCATCCCACCTACACGTCATGTCTCAGAGCGCATAACAGTGGCGGAGCCTGACGCTGAGCTGGAGAGAGAGGTGACCACAGGAATGGCCAAAGAGAGAAAATAAACTCCATCTTGCCCCCTCTCTGTCTGTCTCTCTTCACATTCTGCCTTAGTATTTACTTTTTTAATTGCGTCTGTGGTCACCTCCTCCCCCCCATCTCTCCCCCCACCCAACTTCAGGCTCACGTGAAGCTGCACCCCAGCCAATCTCTGAACTGCTCGGAGATGCTGGGAAATTGCTGACAATTATTAATGGCCTGTGTGTGTGCATAGACACAGTCACTGTGCTGTAATGTCTGGTGTATGTGTGTGTGTAGACACGGTTACTGCTCTAATGTCTAGTGAGTGTGTGTGTGTATAGACATTGTGTAATGCCCTGATCAAAGTCACTAACGACATTCTGTTCATCTGTGCCAGGGCTCTCTCTATCTCTTCGACTCTCTGCTGCCTTCAACAATTCTATCCTCCTACACCTCCACTCTCAGCTCAACCTTCATGGACCTGTCCTTGCCCGGTTCGAATCCTACCTCTCACACCGTCTCCACTGTGTCTCCACTAACAGCTTCTCCTCCAGTCCCCGCACCATCACATGCAGCGTTCCTCAGGGCTCTGTCCTTGGTCCCCTCCTCTTCGTGGAGTCCTGTAGCTCAGTGGTTAGAGCACTCGCTTTGCAAGTGAGAGACCTGAGTTCACTTCCAGGCAGAGGGCGAAACCTTGGGCAAATTTCCTTACTCCACACAGAGACTAATAATAATCCCTCCAAAACTAAAAACAATAATAAATTGGTCATTTTCAATCTACGACTGTTTATGGGACATTGCTGTGCGCAATTGGCTGCCGCGTTCGCCCACAAATATACAGTCAATTCACTTTACAGTGTGTTCTGTGAAGCGCTTTGGGACGTCCTCCCGACGTGAAAAGCGCTATATCAAATGCAAGGATTATTATTATTATTATTATTAATATCTATATGCTCCCTCTTGGTGACATCATCCACAGACATGGGGTCAACTTCCACATGTATGCGGATGACACCCAACTCTCTCTCTCTCTGCCTCAACTCCAGGACCCACTGCTGACCTGACAGAATGTCTGTCAGACATCAAGTCCTGGTTGAGGCATAACTTTCTTCAGTTGAACGTTAACAAGACCGAGGCTCCTGATTGGCTCTCGTCAACGCCTCCTAACCATCCTAACCATCACCATCCATGGGGCTCACTCCCCCTCACTGAGCCAGTCCGCAACCTTGGGGCCTTGTTTGAGTCTCAACTATCCTTTCTACACCACATCTGCGCCATGACCCGCTCTGCCTTCCCCACCTCCGCAACATCTCCCAGCTCCACCACTGTCTCACACCGCAGGCCACCGACACCCTCATACACACCTTCATAACATCGAGGCTTGACGATGCACTCACTGCTTGTCGGCCTCCCCAACTCCTCCCTCCATAGTGTAGATCATCCAGAACTCTGCAGCCCGTGTCCTCTTCCCCACCAGGCTCCGTGACACTATCACCTCCATCCTCGCCCAACTCCACTGGCTTCCCATCACACAGAGGATACAGTTCAAAATACTGGTCCTCACCTTCAAAGCCTTCCATGATCTTGCTCCCCCTACCTTTGCCACCTCCTAATCCCCTACCAACCTGTCCATTCCCTCACTCAGGGGCTCCGGCCTGCTTCACGTCCCCCGCCTTGCCCACCGCACCATTGGCGGGTGGGCCTTCAGCCACTCTGCCCCCACCCTCTGGAACTCCATCCCACAGTCCCTCTGCCTTGCCCCTCCCTTGCCTCATTTAAGACCCTTCTCTTCAACCATGTCTTTGGTCACCCTGCTTCCTCTACCCTCCCCGCCCTCCACCCTCCTAATCCCAACCCTGACTATCCAGTGCATTGGGACGTTCTCCTGATGTGAAATGTATTATACAAATGTAATTTGTTGTTGTTGTTGTAATGGCTGGGTTGTGTCTGTGTGTGTGTGTGTGTGTCTGAGTGTGTGTGCAGACAGGCACTGGGAGAGCTGCCCAGTGTTGTATTATTTCAGAGCTTACAGTTCCCCCAGAGAGACTTTCATGCGATTGTGTGTGTCAGATGTAAACATGTGAGGAAAGAGAATCACTATACCACACCCACACCGTATAATAATAATCCTTGTTTTTCATATAGAGTCTTATCATACCTCCGAGATGTCTCAAAGCGCTTCACAGAATATACTGTAAAGTGAATTGACTGTATACTTTGTGGACGAAACGCAGAAGCCAATTGCACACAGCAGCGTCCCACAAACAGTCACGGATTGAGTGACCAAATTATTATTATTTTAATTGAAGGATTATTATCTTCAGAAAAGCAACCCGCCAATCGAATAACAACCAGGTTCCTACTTACTGTTGGGTAATCAGAGGCGTGTGGAATAAGGAAACTTGCCCAACATTTCACCCTGCCCAGGAATCAAACACAGATCTCTCAGTTGCGAGGCGAGGGCTCTAACCACTGAGCTACACTACAGGACTCCACTATATATCACTTTTGCACGTTGGGTTGCTGCACCTATCACCTCTGATTCGGGCTGGTTGAGATGACAGTGGGTGGGTGTTAGTAGCCACCCCGCTCCTTGAGGAACTTGCTCTGGAGCCCACCCACAGGACTTACTCAATTGTCAGTTTGACTCGATCAGGGGACCCTTCGATGGCAAAGTAGAAATCTTCTGTGAACTGCCCAAGAACGAAGCATGTGAAGACGACTTGCATGACCTGGTACCCGCCTGAGGCCAGCAGCCCTGTGTCTGGGGTAAAGGTGAAGGAGGCGGCCAGGATGTTCTGTGGAGGTTCCAGGCTGTAGGTGGCATCAATATCGCCCTTGTTCACCAGGACAAGCTGAAAAACAACAAATGACCTTTATACAGCGCCTTTCACATCAGAAGGACGTCCCAAGAGAAAGAGGTGATGCTCCCATGTCACAGTCACCCCCCCACTTCCCTTTCCTTTGTCTCCCCCCCACCCACCCCGGCCCCTCCTTACAATGACTCAGAGGGAGAGTGGGGTTGGGGGGCAACAGTGAACGTGCTCCCCTGGCCAACAATCCCCCAGATAAAACTGCTCACCCACTCCATGGCTGTCGCGATGGCCTACAAATTACAGTCACGATACTTTTCAGTAGATCCTGTGAAGTGCTTTGATGGCATAAGTATCAAATGCAAGGGTTATTATCAAAACAGAAGTCGCTGGGAACACTCAGCCGGTCAGGCAGCATCTATGGAGAGAAGGGATTTGAATGTAAGGACCCGGAAGGATCAAATCCCTTCTCTCCATAGATGCTGCCCGACCCGCTGAAGGTTCCTGGCCACTTCTGCTTTCGTTCAGATTTCCAGCATCTGCAGTATTTTGCTGTTTGGTTGCTAATTACTTTGCCCGTGTAACTGTTTGGGAGACGCTTTTAATTCCAACGCATTGCATATATAAAATAAAATCAACATCAAATAGCGCCTCGACAAAGCAAAGTTGATCGTTGACCTGGCTGCTCATTCCCAATTCCCATTAGGATTCCGACGTCTGGGATTCATCTCACTCTCGGCGAAATATCTCAATGTCTTCACAGTCACACACCACACAAACAACACTCCCTCCCATTCCCCTCGCTTCCCCGCCCCCCCACCTCCACCCGCGCAGGATGTTTCATTAAAGCTGACATGAATATGGATGAGACGCAGTGTGTTAATGGGAGATGTAGACACCCCAGAACTCACTTCAGCTGAAGTTTACACTAAGAACATTGATGAATAATTCACGCAGGGTGTTGGAATGCGTGCGAGTAGAAACTGGAGTCACAATTCCTAAGCCTTTTGCTGAAGCTTTTGGACACAAAGGAACACTGAACAGGTGCTCTCAGCCTCTCTGTCCTCAACTAAAATAACTTCAACACACGTCTGTCCCAGTCTTTCTGACTGCAGGACTCTTCGCTGATCGTTCCATCGGAAGACCCTTCTAAACCCTCCTCCCAGCACAGCATCAAGTCCCCATGTCCCGGCCACAAACTCCCTTCCCGGACGTCAGGAGAAGCTTCCCTTCCCAAGTTGCGCAGCGGAATCTTTAACGTCCACCTGAACAGCCGCAGACAGGACCTTGGTTTAAAGTCTCATCCGAAGCATTTTGGAGTGTTTTGAATTTAACAATCCTTGCACAAAAACAGAAGCCGCTTGGGAACACTCAGCAGGTCAGACAGCATCCGGAAAGGTCCTTACATTCAAATCCCTGCTCTCCATAGATGCTGCCTGACCTGCTGAGTGTTCCCAGCGACCTTTGGTCATCGACCTGAAATGTTGACTCATTTTCCTCTCTCCATAGATGCTGCCTGACCTGCTGCGCTTTCCCAGCAACTTCACAGGATTTACTGTAAAGTGTAGTGACTGTGTGTTTTGTAGAAGGACGCAGCAGCCAAGTTGCGCACGCTGCCGTCCCACAAACAGCCGTGGAGTGAATGGCCGATTCTACTTGGGGGATTGTTGGCCGGGACACCGGGAGGGAGAGAAACTCCCTTCTCTTTTCGAATAGCGCCACAGGATCTTTAACATCCACCTGAACAGGCACAGACGGGACCTTGGTTTAACATCTCATCTGAAGCACGACACTTCTGACAACACAACACGCCCCCAGCGCTGCACTGGAGCATCAGCTTAATCCCAACTTGGTACTTGGCCTACAACCTTCTGATTCAGAAGTGAGGGGTCAGAGGTGAAGGTGAGAGTGCTCCCAGTGAGCCAGGGCTGAGCTACACTCCGGCAAGTCCTTAAATTCAGCCTTGATTATTAAGCTGTTTTTCTGTAAGTTTTCTGTAAGTCTGTTTTCCCGTTGAGCCCCATTATTGCTTTAAATGGCCTGCGTTGCGCACGGCCCATTGCTGTTTTGCTGGCAGCCGCTCCCTGACCAGCCTTACCTCGTACGTGTGTGTGGAGCTGACAAACACGTTCCCGATGTCCAGCCGCTCGAAGTTGAGCTGCAGCTGCGGCCCCAGGCCCTCGCCCTTGATGCGGAGAGGCAGCCTCGTCTCACGACCTACAGGACAGGAGGAGAGCAGAGGGTTAAACACCAGCTCACTGTGACAGCAAAGGCCTCGCACTGCCTCCTTCTTCACCAGCTCAGTGGCCACACACCGCTACATGACCGCTATTTCTGGGTTTATTTCAGATTTCCAGCATCCGCATTACTTTGCCTTTTGTTTGTTGTTATCAGTTCCTCTAATGATAGGGTTCCAGCAGTGGGGCTCAGAGCTCACAGTCTGGGCTGACGTTCCCGCTCAGTGCTGGGGGGAGTGCTGTATTGTTGGAGGTGCCGTCTTTCAGATAAGACAGGAAACTGAGCTCCCGTCGGCCTGTCCAGCTGGACACTGTTGGGGGAAAAAAAGGGAGTTTCTCTCTCTCCCCGGTGTCCTGGCCGACAACCCTCCCCTGGCTGTTGCTAAGCTGCAGTGAATTGGCAGCTGTGCTTACTTACAAACACACAGTCACGGCACTTCAAAGTAATCACTGTTAAGAAATCCATCATCAAAGTTAAGATAATAATAATCCTTGTGTTTGATACAGCACCTTATCATTTCTTCGAGGTGTCTCAAAGCGCTTCCCAGGATACACTGTAAAGTTATACTGTATATTTTTTGAGCAAAACACAGTAACCAATTGGACACAGCGACATCCCACAAACAGTCGTGGGTTGAAAAAACAAATTATTGGGCTTTTCTCAGGGATTATTCACCCCAGAAATAATCCGCCAATCAACACCCGGGTTCCTACTTACTGGTAATTCCACTGTAACTCAAAGATAGAATTTGCCATGTTCTGGAGACCCTGAAATGATGAGAAAGTCAATCTGAATCTGAAACCAGGTCTAAATTCTCCTCACAATGTCAAATATAAGTTTGCAAAATCAGTTTGAATGAAGAAGACTCATCAGCCCATTGGATCTCATTCCTCCAGAACATCCACCCTACCATTCCCCATCACTGCATCGAGCTGCTTTTTCAACAAGGCCCAGTGTCCGGGCCTTAACTACACTTCCTGGCAACCCCTTCAGTCGTTAATTGTAGAATCATAGAATTATACAGAACAGAAGGAGGCCATTCAGCCCATCGTGTCCTTGCCGGCTGTTTCAAAGAGCTTTCAAATCAACCTCACTCCCCCACTCTCTCCCCATAGCCCTGATCAACCCCACTCCCCCACTCTCTCCCCATAGCCCTGATCAACCCCACTCCTCCGCACTCTCCCCATAGCCCTGATCAACCCCACTCCCCCGCTCTCTCCCCATAGCCCTGATCAACCCCACTCCTCCGCACTCTCCCCATAGCCCTGATCAACCCCACTCCCCCATAGCCCTGATCAACCCCACTCCCCCGCTCTCTCTCCATAGCCCTGATCAACCCCACTCCCCCGCTCTCTCCCCATAGCCCTGATCAACCCCACTCCCCCACTCTCTCCCATAGCCCTGATCAACCCCACTCCCCCACTCTCTCCTCACAGCCCTGATCAACCCCACTCCCCCGCTCTCCCCCATAGCCCTGATCACCCCAGTCCCCACTCTCTCCCCATAGCCCTGATCAACCCCACTCCCCCACTCTCTCTCCATAGCCTGATCAACCCACTCCCCGCTCTCTCCCCATAGCCCTGATCAACCCCACTCCCCCACTCTCTCTCCATAGCCCTGATCAACCCCACTCCCCCACTCTCTCCTCACAGCCCTGATCAACCCCACTCCCCCGCTCTCTCCCCATAGCCCTGATCAACCCCACTCCCCCACTCTCTCTCCATAGCCCTGATCAACCCCACTCCCCCGCTCTCTCCCCATAGCCCTGATCAACCCCACTCCCCCACTCTCTCTCCATAGCTCTCCAAATTTGTCCTCCACAAATAATTATCTATTTCTCTCAAAAGCTGTTATTGAATCGGTTCCCACCGGCCTTTCAGGCAATGATTCCAGATCCCAACAACTCACTGTGTGAAAACATTTCTCCTCCCCTCCCCTCTGTTTCTTTTGACAACTATTTTAAATAGTTACTATCTGGGTAAAGAAACACTTCCTGGTGTCTGTCCTGAAATTGCCATTTATACCTCTAACCCGATGTCCTCTTTTTCTTTTGTCTTCAGAAAATCAGAGTAGGAATGAGCAGAAACACCTATTAAGGCAGATACTGAGAATCTGAAATAAAAACAGAAGTCACTGGAAACACACAGGAAAGAGGAAAGTGAATTAACATTTCAGGTCGATGATCTTGTGTTACTGGAATAAAAACAGAAGTCACAAGGAACACTCAGCGGATCAGGCAGCATCTATGGAGAGAAGGGACTGGAATGCAAGGACCCTTCCAGGTACTTACATTCACATCCCTTCTCTCCATAGGTCACTGGGTGCTCGAGAGAAACCTTAAACGTTAACTCACTTTTCTCTCTCCATAGAGGAAATAAGCCCACAGCGTGAGGAGGGAACTGAGTGAAGTGGAACAGAGTGAGAATTCTGTTAAGGAATTTGGTGCGAGTGGGAATTCTTCAGCAAAAGATAGAACAAGAGAGAACTCTTTAATTCAGCAGAAGAGTGGGAAATCTTTCTTGAGGTAGAGGCAACCTTATATGTAAGCAGGCAAACAATCCAATTAACAGTTAATCATAAGCCTGGTGTTGGAGATTTAAAAAATCTGCTGACCAGTCAAAACTGGGTGCTTTTGTTTGAATTCTATATAAAGCCCAGCTGTGTGAGGAGGGAACAGAGTGAGAATTCTGTTCAGGAATTTGGCGAGAGTGGGAATTATAAAATATAATATTTATATTTATTTAATATTTACATTAAAATAATATAAAACATGTCTGTGCATACAACCGATCTCAGCTGCCCAGCCATATTCCCAATGTGGGAACTCCAGGATGCTGTGTGTGCCCTGGACAGACACGTGTGTAGGAAGTGCCTCCGGCTGTTCGAGCTTGAGCTCAGGGTTTCTGAGCTTCAGGAGAGGCTGATGTCACTAATAGCATTCGGGAGGCTGAAGAGTTCAAAAGTTTCAGGAGGTGGTCACCCCACACCCACAGAAGGTTCAGAAGGAGAGTGAGTGGGTGACCACCCGGCATGGTAGGAAGAGGGGACGGACAGTGCAGAAATCCCCTGACAAACCGGTTCTCTGTACTGAATACCGGTCAGGGTGATGACACCTCTGGGGAGGGGAGTCAAAAGCAAATGGATGCAGAGGGGGACACAGGGAAGAGTGTCAATGCAATTGTCATTGGGGACACAATGGTGAAAGGAGTAGACAGGTTTCTGCAACCAAAGATATGATTCTCACATGGTATGTTGCCTCCCTGGTGCCAGGGTTGAGGACATCATGGAATGGGTGCAAAATGTTTTACAGGGGGAAGGGGAACATCCAGAAGTCATGGTCCATGTTGGGAAGGAGATAGACAAGCAAGTGTGCAAACAGATTTCAGAAAGATGCAAAACCAATAGAGTAGTGACAATGGGGGATTTCAATTATCCTAATATAGACCGGCAAAATAACAGTGTAAAGGGCAAGGAGGGGGAAGGATTCCTGAAATGTGTGCAGGAGAACTTTCTGGATCAGTTTGTTATCAATCCAACGAGGAAGGAAGCAGTGCTGGATCTCATTCTGGGGAATGAAGTGGGGCAAGTGGAGCAGGTTTCAGTAGGAGAGCATCTGGACAACTGTGAGACAACATCATTAGGTTTAGAGAACTTATGGAAAGGGACAAGGAATCATCAAAGGTGAAGATAGTTAACTGGAAGGGGATAATTTCAGTGTGTTAAAAAGGGACCTAACCAAGTTGGACTGGAAAGAAAGATTGCCAGGTAAAACAGCTAATGAGCAATGGGAAGCGTTCAAGGAGGAGATAGTTCGGGAACAGAACAAATACATTCCCACAAAGGGGAAAGGAGGGCATCCAAACTTCCCTGGATATTATATTATCAATATATTAGTTAAGGATACAAATATAGCTGTAGAAAGAAACAAGGCTCTGGAGGGCCCGACAACAGAATCCATCTGGTTAGAGATAAGAAATAAGAAAGGAATGGTTACACTGATAGGGGTTTACTATAGACCACCAGACAGCGGAAAGGAGATAGAGGAGCAGATCTGCAACCAGATCGCGGATAGATGTTAAGGCGAACAGAGTTGTGATAATGGGGGATTTCAATTATCCCAATATAGACTGGCAAAATAGCAGCGCTAAGGGCAAGGTAGGAGAAAGATTCATAGACTGTGTACAGGAAAATTTTCTTGAGGGTATGTCTCCAGTCCTACGAAGAAGGAAGCAGTGCTGGATCTAGTCCTGGGGAATGAAATAGGTCAGGTTGAACAGGTTTCGGTAGGGGAGCATCGAGGTAACAGTGACCATGTTATTAGATTTAGATTACTCATGAACAGGGACAAAGTACAGTCAAGGGTGAAAATGCTTGACTGGAAAAGGGCTAATTTTGATGGGCTAAAAAGGGACCTAGAGTTGGTGGACTGGCAAGTAAGGCTAGCAGGTAAAACGACTCATGAGCAATGGGAGATCTTCAAAGATATGATAGCTCAAGGTCTAAATAGATATATTCCCACAAAAGGGAAATGTGCGAGAACCAAGCCGGCCTGGATGACCAGGGATATTCTGTCTAGGATGAAAAAGAAGAAGACGGAGTATGACAATTGGAAGACGCAAGACACTGAGGATATCAAAGCGCATTATAGAGAATGCAGAAGTGATCTTAAAAGAGTGATAAGACAGGATAAAAGATCGCATGAGAAGAGCTTAGCGGGTAACATAAAGGGGAATCCTAAAATATTTTACAAGCACATAAAGGAAAAAAAGGTTAGTTAAAGGTAGGGTGGGGTCAATCAAAGACAATGACAGCCATCTTGTTGTGGAGGCAGAGTACTAAGGCTGATGTACTGAACGAGTACTTTGCATCTGTCTTCACAACGGAAACGGATGCCCCAAATGCCGCAGTATTGGATGAGAGGGTAGAGGAAATAGATCAGATTACTATAGACAGAGAGGAAGTTCTGAAAAGATTGACTG